TTAAACTAACACTAGAGGGCAGGCTGTTTAAGTATCTAACACTTCTTGAACTCCTTCTACCTTCCTGTTTTCACCTTAGGTGGGCACACCCACTCCCCCTTGTGGGCATTCTCTGCTAGGTCGACTTGGTACTCTAATTTGTTTGATTTTAATTTCCCTTCTGCTTCATTGGTCATTATCATTCTAGCCATTCTAGTTACCTGCAGTTTCATTTTTAATGTTATTTATTCATTTATTTTATTTTTTGTTTTTGTATTAGTTTTCATATCCAGTACTATTTTTGTTTTATTTTATTATCTTTTATTACTTTTATAATTTTGTTTATTTTGTTTGTTTTGTTCCCTTTTTTTTATTTTAATTTTTAATCAGGGTTCTCTCCTCCTTTTCTCTCTCACTTTACCACTCACTTATTTAAATTTAGTTTAAACCCTGATGAGAGCAGAGACTGAACTCTAAGAGAGAGATGCTAGGGCCAAGGCCAGCGAAGGCCACCTGCAAAGTTCACGGGCTGAAGTCAGTGCCTTGGTCCAACAAAGAGACTATTTAAAAGACGAACTTGATACGGTTCACCGAGAGCTTAAATATGCATATAGACTGCAAAGTGACTCTGAAAGGGAAATGCACACCACAGAATTTCCCCTAACCAGCAGATTGATACCAGCTAGTCAAGGGTTTCCAGATCGAAAGGGGGGTGAGAGCCCACTGCTCAAGACATCACCTGCCAGCATCCCTGAACCCCCAGCAGCAGCAGGGGGGTGGAAGCCATTTCAAAGGCTGTCTTCCAGTGTCACCTAAAGAATTGGATAAGCTGAAGCTGGCTAGAGACATTCCCACTTTCACTCCAAACCCTGCAAGAGGCCACGATGTGCACGCCTACTTAAAAGACATTGACTTTCACTTGAAAACTGTTCCCAATGTAACCACACGAGACAGACTCTATCTGCTCCAAATCACCGCCAGCCATGAGGTGAGGAGCTTTCTAGACCGGCAGCCAGAACAACAGACCCCATACTAGCACTGTGGGCAGACAATTCAGCCATCAGCCTCTCACAGTTCAATGCTCTCAAACAGCACACAACGAACATTCCTTTTGCTAAAAAGCGCACACGATTCCCTTTGAATCCCTGCCCATCAGCTATGGTGACTGCCAAGGGCACCTATGCCCTGAACTTGAGGTGGAATGACAGGTGTCTAACCCATTACTTCCTGGTCCTTCTAGATGCACCGCATGATGTCTACATCAGAGCGGACCTTCTGATTCGCCTCAGGGATCACGTAGACATGATCAATGAAGTGATATGGGCTCCAATGACCTCACAGTCACCCACGATTCCTGTCAATCCTTTCAGGCCAAACCATCCCTGAGGCCTGCACGCTAATCAATGAAAAAGAGACTGTAGTACCAGCTTACACCAGTCGCTGTTCGACTCAACCTGCGAAGTGGCCAAGCTCTCAGCCACACCCTAGGCTTCTTCCAACCTTCACCCGAATGTGGGGAACTGGGCCTCACTTTGGAAGCCACACCCCTCGTTGAAGTGACATCTCGGGCAGTCTACATCTTGTTCAATAACTGCACGGCAACAAATGTCAGAGTGCCTAAGGCGTATCGTCTGGGTTGGCTAGTGAGTTATGACTTCCATGACTTTGAACTAATTCTACCAATAATTGGACCCATCTCAGATTAAATGATTCCAGAAGAAAGCTCAGGCCACACAGTGTCAACAGCACCCTTCAAGATCATCACCATAACCTCAGTCATGCCAGTGGTCAAGGAGCAGGTGTGTAGAACAGAACTAACAGAAGACCAACACTTTGCCGTGTACACGGTCTCTAACCACTCCACCTGCATAAATAACAGCGTGACTGCACCTCTGACCGCCCACGGCACAGAGGAATTGATGACAGAAGAGCCATACCCAGGTTTTGAGACACAAGTCCAGCAAATTCTGAAAGAGAACTGGATGTGGGCGACAGGGTCTGGTACTACAGCTACGCACAGCCTCCTCAGATAACCTCTCATCGGCTATCAAAGAAGTTCCTGCCACACTGGACAGGACCGCATGAGATTGTGGACAAACTCTCCCCTGTCGCATATCGGATCAAGCTGAGTCGGGGACAGAAAGAACCAGTTTTCAAATGGGTCCATCATAACCAGATCAAGATACATGTGGCTGCTGGCAGGGAAGGACAAGGGGGGGGCTAGTGCTAACTAGACATTGCTATAGTCCTCAAACAAAGACTGTCTTGAACAGACAAGAACTTCCCT